CTTGCCACTCAATCTTCCGTAGGCCCTATCTACATTTATCTTGTCGATCATGCGCTTCCTCCATATATAATTTAAATATGGCTTTAGAAATTTGTATTCTCCATTTTTTTTCTTTTTTCTTTTTTTTCTTTTTTGCTTGAATTTTGGTAAATTTTGTACATAACTTCCAAATAAGTGTGAATGAATATTATTCGGAATGGTAAAAATTCCCACCTCAGCGGGCCCGCACCGTCCCAAATATACTATAAATTTATTAAATTATAAATTTATTAAATTATTCTTACATTGTATATATTATGAATCTGTTCCCCGAAGATGAGAATGGGGAATGGGATTCCTGCCCATTGCCGTCCCTAAATATTATTTTATCCCATGTAAGCATAGCTACCATGGGAGAGAGATTTTGGTTGATCAAAACAAGGGCTTGGCCTGATTGGGCAAAGGAAAAAAAAAAGTTCCATTTTCAAAAAAGTTTTAACTTTTACTAAAATATAAGTATATATTTTTGGAAGCCAAACACAACCAAAATAAAACAAAAAATATATAAAAACTTCAACAAACCTTAGAAATTGTTATGGGAGGGCAAACTTAAACATGGAACATACTAGCTCATAGAGTTGGACGCTCAATCGACTAGGATAATGTCCTAAAAATATACTTTTACAAACTAATTAAAAAATTGATTGTGCACTATTTTATATGGCCAAACTTCCTTTTGGCATTTCGGGCTATACTCGGTACTTTCCCAAAATCAAATAAGAACAAGTTCTCATTCCCTCTCTTTTTTATTTTTCATTCTCATTCTCAAACAGCAAAAATTCAAAACTTCCTTAGATCAAATTACACTTTGAGAGGCTTATTGATGATGATTCATTCAGGTGCTTTGGCACAAAATTTTCAATTACATTTCACATACTTGTGGTTCATCATTTTCGAAACATGGACTGATCAACATTTCGAATTGTAAATTACAAATTAGTGCTCAACAATAAAGTTGTCATTATTCTACAACATGTGTAAGTTAAGAAATTTGATACACGCCTCGGGATATATATATATATATAATCACCATTAAATCACATAATAAGGGCAAATCATGTGGTTTTATGAAACTATGTGCTATGGGTCAAATCCATAGTCAATCTTATTTTCAACAGCGGCAGTTGATAATTGAATCTAATTTTTTTCACTATTTTCATATAAGTAATAGAGCGAAAATATGGGTCCAAGTGGTTCAAGAATAAAAGCTATCGTGTTTTCTTGACTCGTCACTCTTGGAAGAGCGACAAAGAAGAAATTGTATCCAAGACCAATACAGAAGTGAAGTTCAGAAAATTCATATAGTACACACACTAATATTGACTCAGGTAAATTTTAAGGGTCTACTACAGCTATAAATCCCGATTAACTACACACTAATATTGACTCAGGTAAATTTTAAGGGTCTACTACAGCTATAAATCCCGATTAACTTCACATACTAGTGGTTCTTCGGTTTCAGATTTAGAAATAGTTCATCTTTTTAAACTGAAATTGCAAACCATTCACCGAGCATTTAGTAAACTAACAAGGTAACATGTGGCATCCCTCCAACGAAGGTTGTTGGCACATATATGTGACGTCCCATGTCATCACGGAGATTATTGTCAATAGTTGGAGAGATATCTTTGTGGAGAGAGGGAGAACAGTAGGCTTTACGTTTGGAATAAAAATTTTTTTTAAAAAAAAAAAAAGTAAAGCAAACTCACACACATCCCTCTGCCGAAACTCGAATTCCCAACGTCCTCAAGAATTCCCAACGTCCCATTTGAGGAGATGGGTTTGTAACTTTGTACCAAGTGGGCTATCACGTGAAGATCTTCCTTAATTTTGGAGCAATTAAGTTTAGGCAAATTGATAATATCACACAAAATGCCATTTGGGTATGAAAATAAAATGCACAACGAAATGAAATTCAATGCTAGTGTAAACAGTTTACAAACACCCATTTTAAAGAGACATTTTCGAATATCTGAGTGTAAAATGACCGCATAATTCCACCTTCCTCCAATTTTTCCTTTTTATTTACTCAAGATATGCGTGGAAACCAAAAATGAAAGTATTGAATATAGTAAATTTACTGTTACCAACAATTACGTTAAACAAAAAACATAATTAAGAATCACATCACGACGGAAAAGTAAACACGCAACGTACAAAGATTTACTCCTTGAAGTATTGATGAACCGAACAGCAGGGGGTGTAAATGAATAAACCCAATTTTTATAAAGCATATGACAAAAAATCACGAGACTATTAAGTTTCCCTCAAAACCTAGGACTCTCTCTCTCATTTGGTTCTCGGTGTTCTTTTGTGACCCACTTCAAACACCTAATGCCCTTTATATATTGGACTACAAGAGAGCCTAAACAGGAACCAAGATTCCAAAGAGAAAACTGGTCGAAAATTCGACCCGAGCTGAAACAAAATTCAGACATCACATTTACCATTACTAGAAATTTAATGATTAAAATTTGAAATTGCAGAAAAACAATACAAACTAAAAAGAGGAAATACTTATGCACCCAGTGTTCCGCAGTTTTGCTTTATGAAAGTGTTCCCTCGAATGATTTTACAGAGGCTAGCACAGTTGCTAAATATATATATACATATATATATATATAGCACCCAAACCCATGAAGAAAACATATCAGCAATAGCACCAAGGTTGACAATTCAAACAGCAAAACATAAAAGATGGGTAATTTAATATGGGAGGTATAAATAACCTCCACCTTTAATCTGAAATGACATTAATGTTTTTAATTCAATTTCTGAAATTAAAGTTTAAGGGGCATTTTTGTCATTTAGTTTAAGAAAAAACAAAAAGAAGTGCATTAATCATTCCCTTCAATAATATTTGGGAAATACATTGCAGTACCTGCATTACCAGTTACATTCTTCAGTAAATGTGAATAGACGTTTTTATTAGAACTAGGGTTCCCTAATCTTTTGATTGCAAGTCTAAGTACTAAAATTATATGTTTCTTTTCCAAACAAAGTTTTTAAAATGGGTTAGAGAACAATAATGACAATGATGTAATCACAATTTCAAATAATCACAATTCCAGACAATAACAAAATAATAAATATATAAATAATAAATATAAAATAAAAATACAAGTAATCCAAAATTCAGGTTCGTAGTGCTTCACAGAGAAAGATCCAACAAGCTAGTTTCTATACGACTTAGCTTTAAATAATCATTGTTTTTCTCTATAAGAGGTGTGAGACGTCTAAGTTTCTTTTGAAATATTTCTCCGTGACTATATGGAGATGTATTTATATAATTAATTTACTTCAGAACGAAATAGCATATAGCTCTATCAACTTAAACTAGCAATCCCATATAGAATCAATTTGCACCATAACATTTACTAGAATAATACGAAGCAATGGAATAAAAAATATTAATAATAATAATAATTGTCTAACAATATAAAACACATCAATCAAATATAGGTAACAATACAAGGCAGTAAAGTTACTCAATTCCAAATGAATAGAAATATCATTCAGCCAAAGAGTTAACATATTTTATTCTAAAACAATGTATTAACAATTGAACTATAAAAAACATGAAATAAAGAAAAGAAAGAGATCGATCAAACAAATAATCATAAATCAATTGACAATTAGATTTTTTACTCTACCTTCTTAAAGATTGTCATTCTTTCTCAAATAGAGAGCAGCCAAAAAGTGAGTCATGGAGAACAAGGAAAGAGAGGATTACCAGACTGACGAAGGTTCTCAAAGAGAGAAAGAGAGGAGAAAGAGCACGTGTAACAAGAACTGCAGACTAAAGATTAGTATTGGGGCATCTTTAAAATTTCATAAGTTGTAAATGCAATTTCGATTGAAAGCACAAGGTTGAAGAACAAAGCAACAATAAGCAAGTAAAAATTCTACCTTTCTTTGTAATATGGACAAGATCAAGAGTGATGAAACGACTAAGAAAACTAATAGTTAATCTAGACGATTAACAAAATGAAAGGGTTGATAGTTATTAAAGGATTTTGTAGTTAATTATCTTCATGATTTCAAGTAAGTATGTTTTTATTTTTACAGAAAGCACAATGCGCAGTATGATCAAATGTAATATTTGAAAGTTTCGATTTATTAGGGTTAATGGAGTAGACTTGGGAGTTGAGACTCAAGACATGATGGTTTATTTGGTGGATTTTGTCATTGGCTATTGGATATTGATACCATCAGGTAAGAAATGATGCCATTCTCATTGTGCACATTGAAACGAAATCATCTTTTAGTATGGGAGAAATGTCCTTATACTCGAACTTCAGTGCACGACAGACTTGAATATTCATCCCTTTACCTACTCAAGGGATGCATGAAAATAAAATATGACGAGTTTCAAATCCAATAAATTTATCATTTGGACAAAAATAATTAGAATTTCAACTTTAGGAATTTTAAAATGCAGATATACTTATATATAAACCAACTCTGTACATATTTTTGCTGCCCTTATGGAAACTTTCCCCTCAAATATCATTTGATAGAGGCCAGCATAAAAAAATTCATGTCCAGTAAAAGAAACCACATGAACAATGGCATTACAACAAAAACAACAAAAGACAAAGTTGAGCAACTCAATAATGTATGACAGTAAAAAAATATATACACGGTCACTTATTGTATTACGAGTTACATTATTTACATTATTTAATAAGCTCCACCACAAGTTGCAAATCACATGCGTCAATCATGGGAAGAGTATCAAATCCAATAAATTTATCATTTGGACAAAAATAATTAGAATTTCAACTTTAGGAATTTGAAAATGCAGATATACTTATATATAAACCAACTCTGTACATATTTTTGCTGCCCTTATGGAAACTTTCCCCTCAAATATCATTTGAGGGAGGCCAGCATAAAAAATTCATGTCCAGTAAAAGAAACCACATGAACACATTACAACAAAAACAACAAAGACAAAGTTGAGCAACTCAATAATGTATGACAGTAAAAAATATATACACTGTCACTTATTGTATTACGAGTTACATTATTTAATAAGCTCCACCACAAGTTGCAAATCACATGCATCAATCATGGGTGGCAAGTAATACACCATCATCATGATAAGATACTTCTACATGTATATATGTATAGAAGCAAATTTACAATCCCACGAAAATTAAGAGGCATAACGCTTACAAGCAAAACACACCCACACCCACACTGTTTTATGTCATAATGTTGTTGAAAGAGAAGATCAAATAACTTCTCGAGTCACAACAATTTAGGCAAACCATGAAATCCATGCAAAGTTTAGAACCCAAACCATACTTATATGTACATCATTCATAGTGATATTCAAGAAGATATACGCACCGAATAAAAAAAACTCAAGAACAACAGCAAGTTGGACACCGGATCAACCCGTTTTCGTTGCACTCCAGGCATCTCTTCAGCTGGTCTTCATCTTCGTCATAAACCTTTCTGCTTCCACTGCAATTCGAGCACGGAATGAACCTGGCATCCCCACAGCCCTCGCAGACAAACCCTAGTGCTCGAATGGGAAGGCCACCGAGAATTTTGGCCAATTCACCAACCTCATGAAGCTGTTTGACCACATCAGCACCTCCAATGTACTTCCCTCGGACGAACACTTGTGGCAAAGTAACATTCTTTTCGCCCAGAACACTCTGCAACTCTTTCCTGTAAGCTGAATCCATGGAAATGTCGCGGTCATCGACGAAAACCCTAAATCCCCTCAATATCATCCTCACAGCACAGCAATCCTCGTACGTCCTCCGAATTCCCCTCAAACTGGTGAAATAGACGACAATTCGATCTTCAGTACCCGGCAATCGAATCAGAGGGTTGGTCGTGAACGAAGAAACCCTAGAATCGGTTTCGATCGATTTGGTGGGTTTCAATTTGGTTGGCGATTGTAATTGCGATTGCGATTCGTCCAGAACTGATGTTGGGGATTTGGTGGATTCGAATATGCTGCAGAGCTTTTTTACCTTTCCCTTGATTGAATTCCCAGCAGAGAAGACCGATCCGAACGGCGAATTGTACAATTGCTTGATCGATCCGGTGCGTTCGAGGGTCGAGTACAGGTAGGGTTTTCTGGTGGATTGCATGGTTAGGGACCGATTGAAGATGGAGGATTTGGGGTTTTCAGATAACTCGAATTTCTCTTCTAAACCAGCCATTGTTTCAGAGAAATGGAGAATTCAACCCCTCTTTTTTTTTAATCTTCAAGGGTAAAAAACAATCGAGATGATTTTGACGGTTAGGGCTTTGCGGTTAGCGGTGGTTGACGGTGGTGGAAGTGGTGGCGATGGAAATGGAGAAAAGTGGGTGGGCGGTGGATTTTGGAAGGTAGGTGGAGATGATGGATGCTTTTGGGGACGAAATGTGGAGGAGTTGCTTTACTTTTTTGAAAGCGTAGATTGAAAGTAATTTGATTTTTAGAGAGAGAATGAATGTATGTATTTGTGTATGTATATATAGATATATGTGTGTGTATATATTGAGAGAAAAAAAGAGAGAAAATGATCTGTGAGCTGAGGTCAGTTGCGGAGGCCGAGTGTTGATTCAAAACAAAGGACGTGGTGGATGAGCGGATATATATATATATATAAAATAATATATTGAGAATATAATAATAATAACAAATACCACTCACGCTTTTTGCGCATGCTTTAAATAGATCAAAATTGATAAATTTATTGAAAACCTCAGCGCTGTTTTTGTGTTTATTTATTTTAGTTTGTTGACTTTATTCTTTATTGTTACAGTTGTAGTACTATGTGGGCACACACACTGCATGTGCAAGAGATCAACATATATATATATATATATATATATATATACATTTTTTTTTTTTGTTTTTTTTTAAAAAAAAAACACAATATTTAAAGAGAAGCTATGCAGCATGGACGCGGATACAGGATACGAATAGGACACGACACGGATACGTCAAAACGTCAAATTTTAAAAAAATAAGACGCGGATATAACTTGGACACGACTATATATAAAAATGAATTTTTATTTTTATATATGTATTGAGTATTAATATTATGAAATTTTAATTCACTTCTAATTTTTATACTAAAGTTTTTTTTTTTTTTTACACTAAAATTGCATGTAATGACTTTTATATCATATTTACAGCTATTTCACTAATTTGTCATAATAGCGTTTTTATTTTAAATGAACAAATATCATGTTTCGTTTGTGATCATATATGTATAATGTCAATTTTCTTTTAAAAGAAAATAGTTGAACACTTTAAAATGTGTTCATATAATTTTCAAGATTATTAGATAGGTTTGTGTTAAAAATGTTTAAAGGTATCAGGCTAAGTGTTCAAAAAGTGTCGGGAAAGTGGTCCAAATTAATAAAAAAAAAAAATTTATTTTTATTTACGAACACGTATATGAAGTGTCGAACACGTGTTCGAGGAGTGTTAGTATCCGACAGGTATACGGCTCCTTCACAAAAGAGTCCGTGCTTCATAAGAGAGAAGAAACTTTTTTGAAATTTTAAAATAGATGACATTGATCTCCTAATAAATTAGACAGAATTAGACAATGCAACTTTTATTATTTTGATCTTCTTAAGATTTGACTCGTGAATTCAATGACATTCCTAATATTCAATTTCAGTCAGAATTATTTTTCAAATTTTATAAGATGATAATTTGTTCTTCTTTTATAAGGCCACTATAAGGAATAAAGGATGGACTCTTCTACAAAGTTGCAAATTTCTTAATGGCAAGAACTTAAGAACATGCAATATATGTTATTTGTACTCATGGGAGAATATATTGTTTAATATTATAAAGGGTAAACTGCATTTAATTTCTCTTAGACTTTTTTGAAGTAAAATTTTTTTAGAATGATTTTTACCCAAAAAAAAAACTCTCCTCAACTAATCCAGTGGAGTTATTTTTTTGACTTATTTTGCCAAAAATGCAATCATCAAGTCAATGAGATTTTATGCATCAATTGTATGAATTTACCTATCTCCAAGATTTTTTTTTTCTTCTTTCTTTCTTGAATAATAATATTTGAATATATTTTTTGTTACATGCAAAATCACACTTTTAATTAAATAAAAGTATAAAAAAATAAAACAAAATAAAATTTATAATTATGAGTGCAATTACATATAAGTTCAAATTTTATATGTTTACTCGTATTATATATTATATATACTATTATTATATTATTTATATTATATTATTTATTTTATACAATGCGTATATATGTAAATATATGTATGGACATTTGATAAAACAATTAGATGGACAAAAATGAATTTTAATTACAATAAGTGATTGAATGGTGAAATATTAATTTTTTTTTAATATTTTATGTTATTTATTTGTATTCTTCTTCACATGTGAGGTAGGTTGTATTTGTATTCATGAGAGAATATATTGTTTAATATTATAAAGGGTAAACTGCATTTAATTTCTCTTGACTTTTTTTCAGTAAAACTTCTTTAAAATGATTTTTACCCAAAAAAAAATAAAAATAAAAAAACTCTCCTCAACTAATCCAGTGGAGTTATTTTTTGACTAATTTTGCCAAAAATGCAATCATCAAGTCAATGGGATTTTATGCATCAATTGTTTGAATTTACCTACCTAAAAGATTCTGTTTTTTTTTTTTTTCTTTCTTGAATAAAAATATTTGAATATATTTTTTGTTACATGCAAAACCGTACTTTTAATTGAATAATAGTATAAAAAATTAAAATAAAATTCATAATCATGAGTGTTACATATAAGTTCAAATTTTATATATTTACTCATATTATATATTATATATACTATTGTTATACTATTTATTTTATACAATGCGTATATATGTAAGTATATGAATGGACATTTGATTAAACAATTAGATGAACAAAAATGAATTTTAATTACAATAAGTAATTGAATGGTATAAAATAGTAGGCTTGTTTTAGCATTTTATTTAGTTGAATAGAAAAAGAAAAGAAAAAAAATGAGAATGGATATTGTGTGAGCTAGGCTAAAGAAATAATATTTAGTTGCACTTATAATTATGAATTTTATTTTTTATACTTGTCTTTAATTATTGGTTTGAGTTTATTACCGACAAATACAACTTAGTCACTTTTTGAACAATGACACCTTTATAGAAATTGGATCCAAACTATCCCTAAAAATGTGTGAAAAATCTAAATTGTCTTTTATTGTTTTATTAGTTTTAGTGAGAAATATTAGAATGGTGAAATGACCAAAATGTCCAGTGTTCTCTCATCTCTCGACAATGTCCTTCATCATGCCAACGGTGGTGACTCCCATATTGCGTCATCACCTCTGAGCTCCCCACCCTCTCCATCGCAGCCGCCGCCGCCACCAACCTGGGAATGGAGGATGATTTTATCAACTAGAAAACTGATTGAGAAAGGATTTAAATGGAAAGCAGATATGTTGGTCGATTTATTATGCCGAAGTGTGACTGCTGATGTAGAATGTAATACCCCTATATTTTGAAATGGACGGAACTAGATAAAAGAATGTGATATTGGACTATAATGGAAGGCCTTAGAGGATTAAGAAGGCTAAGGCCCATGGTTTTAAGTACGTGTATATACATATCGGTTAGTATGTAAATTACAAATATATAAATATATAGATAATTATTATTTCATAAGTGAATAGCATGAGTATAGTTATATATGTATACATATATGGATATATGGATACGTGTATATATAATCCTATAAGGACTAGAGTTGGGGATATATATATATAACTGAGAGAGAGAGAGAAGAGGAGGAGGAAGAAAGAGAGGTCGAGCAAGGAGGCCGGACCAGAGAAGGAAGATGATGGCGACGAGAGAAACCGGAGTTGCAGAACTGAATCAAAAATGCTTGCGGCGCGTCAGTTTCGTTTCGCAACCTTCAAGCAAGTTCTTTCTCTACTTCTCCTCTCATAACACATAAGTTCTATACCTTGGGCATCATGATCTTATAATTGAAAGTGCATATTAATCACATAAACTTAGGTTAATAGCATGAAATCGGAGTTACGGGTTTGTGTATATATATGTGTGTGTGATTATATATATATATATATATATATATATAGTGATACCCCTTGATCCCAGACCACGGGTTGATCAGGTCTGCATACAAAACTAAGGGATATCAGACAATTAATCTTTTAAAGTGAACATAGAATACTAAATAATTAAATAATAAATGCTTTGAATAAATTCATTAATTCTCAAATATAATTAATCCTCTGAATAAATCCATTAATTCTTAAATATAATTAATCATTCAAAATACAACTTGGGAATCCTCAACGTGGAACCCTTAATAAAATCCCATAACTGAAATCCCAAGGAGGATTACTTGGGATTTGTTCTTCATCTTCTGGATTGGATTCTAACAAGAAGTCCAAGATCACTTGCCCATTCTTTGTTGTCCAGGCCCATAACGTACATCAAAGGAACTTAGTTCAATGGCCCACTTGGTTATTCTTCCATGGAGGTTTGGTTTGTTGAGGATTGCTTTGAGCGGATGAGTTGTTGGCATTATTATCCGATACGCTTCAAAGTAATGCCTGAGTTTTCCCTTTGCTTGGACCAAGGCAATGATTACCTTCTCGGCCGTTGAATATCTGGTCTCCGAGTTTGGCATTGTTTTGCTGGAATGTAATACTGAGTGTTGCTTTCCTTCTACCTCTCTGATCAAAGCAGCACTGGTTACCGCTCGAGAAACAGCTAGGTACAAGTAAAGTGACTCATCAGGGATCGCGGCAGATAAAATGGGAGGACTAACCATGTACTCTTTTAACTTGGTAAAGGCTTATTGTTACTCATTTCCCCATGTCTCTCCCTTTTCTACCTTAATGGCGCTAAAGAATAGCTTGCATTTTTCTGAGAGTCTGGAGATGAAACGGCTAAGAGTTGTTAGAACTTGAATATCTTTCATGGTCTGTTGTTGTAACGACCCGAACCTAGGGGGTCGAATCGCTAATCGGGTCCTTACTCGAACCCGAGGACTCTCAATGGCAATACGGTCATTCATTTTGTCAAGGAATTAATAAAATAATGTATCGGGGTCCACAAGACTCAATAGGGTCATGAATTGATCAAAGAAATAACAAAAATCATATTTCAAACAAGCTGGCCCAACAGGCAGGAATCGGTCGACATGTGAGATGTACACATCAACCGGTTCTGGTAATTTGGTCGATGTATAGAACATCAAGTTGGCTCTGAACAATAAAAATGCCTACTGCCAAAAATAATGGGATACCGGTCGATGTGAAATGCTTACACATTAACCAGTTCTCCCCAGGTTCGTGGTTTTGGTCCATTTAATGAAAGAAAGAAACAATAATTCTCAATGAAAAACAAAGTTCAAAGTCTTAGAAAATCCCTACCTCAAGGTGCAAGCCAAACAAGCCCTTAAGCAAAACCCTAATTTTCAAAATCTCTAAACCCTTGCAATAATGATGTCAAATGGTAGCCCTTGCTAAGCTTTTTCACTTTCCCTTCTTAGTCTTCTTCAAAATCTCACCCTAACCCTCTTAAATCTAAGCTTTA